TTTTTTTGGCGAACTGTTAGGACCGAGTAAAGCTACTCCCATGTAGGATTATCGGTTTTAGGACCTGTAGATCGTGTGCATTCACACGTGCATGCGTTGCCTTTATATTCCACAATCGAGCCAGTCCAACTACGTACAACTCCTTATTTTTCCACGGATACAAGTACTGTACTGTGCACGACTTAGCACTCGGACTAACACATGAAAAGTATACTCTTTACCGGCTAGAAGCGGCTCGATCGCTGCATGCTTGAATAGTACTCCCAGATTGTGATGTAGAACAACTTTCAAGCACGGAGAAAAACTTTCAAGCACGGAGAGACACACACGCACCCTGCTTCTAGAAACCTTTGTACTCCTGTTAGTCGGATTTGGCAAATCCGACCTCCTATACGTCCGTGGACGCGCCCGGGCACGTCCGCGGATGCATCCGGACGGACCCTCATATTGCCGTTCTGACATCCTCATATCTCAAATCCATGCAAATACTTGCACGTCGATCATACAAGCCAATATGGCACGCAAATAGCAAATGTTGGTACGAAGCATAAATAATGTTTGCATTAAATTTATTTAAGTGCCAAACTCAAGCATTGGCTCCTTGGTTGCCATTGTGGGTCCACATGTGCTCCACAAGATCATTGAGTAGTTGCGTGTGCACCTGCTGATCTCGAAGATTCTGATGCGTCTGCAGAAAGTTCATCAGCCGAGCCGCATCTTGATCTTCCAAAATTTCAATTTCTTCTCCAGGCGCTTTGAAATCATGGGTTTGGGCTACACCATCACCCTCATCCTCGACAATCATATTATGCAGAATAACACAACATGTCATCAGCCGCCACAAAGTTTTTGATTCCCACATCATTGCAGCGCTCCGCACAATTCCCCAATGAGCCTGAAGCACAACAAATGCCCTCTCCACATCCTTACTAGCCGCTTCCTGCATTGTTGCAAAGTGGCTCTGTTTATTGCCATGCGGTTCGGATATGGTCTTCACGAACACCGTCCATTGAGGATAGATACCATCGGCAAGATATTATCCCATGTTGTACTCTTGGCCATTGATGGTGCAGTTGTATGGCGGTGATTCCCCATTGCAAAGCCTCGTGAACACCGGAGATTGTTGAAGCATGTTGATGCCATTGTGAGAATACGACATTTCAAAGAAAGCATGCGAAATCCATAAGTCATGTGATGCCACCGCTTCTAGTATGATGGTGGCCTCTCTGGTGTGACCTTGATACATTCCCCACAAACCTTTGGGGCAGGTCTTCCATTGCCAATGCATGCAATCAATTGATCCGAGCATTCCTGAAAACCCCTTGCCTCTCTAATAGCCAACAACTTTCATGTCCTGCGCATTTGGTTCTCTGAGATACTCAAGTCCTAACACCTCCACCACGGCGTGGGCAAACTTGACAGTAGTCTTCAAGCACGTACTCTCCCCATCCTGACCATCTCACCAACCACATCTGGAGCAGTACCAAGTGCAAGCATCCTCAGAGCAGCTGTGCGCTTCTGCTTGGCCGAGAAAGAGAGTTGGCCGCAACAATCCCTTGTGAGCTTGAAGTAGTCATCGTGTGCCTCCACTCCGTCCGGGCCGGCGACGACTGGAGGGTTCTTCCGGAGCTAGCTATGGAGCGGGCACAGTGGCGGAGCGCGAGAAGGACGACGCGGAGGAGGAAGAAGAGGGGAGATAGCAAATGGAGCCGGCTGGTCTTGGGTGGATTTGGTGCAATTTGGGGTGGGGTCGGGCTATCGGGTCTGACGTGGCGGGCGTGCCCGGGCGTTCCCATATCAGCCCCATATTTGGGCTGGATATGAGGGGTGCTGGTCAGCCCGGGTGTTTGAGGGCCATTTGAAGGGACCGTTTGGGTCAAAAAATCATGACCGGACAGTGACCGGGCGACCCGTCTGGATGTATGAGGCGGGTTTGAGGCGCCCGGCTGTAGATGATCTTATACGTACTTGATCACGAACCGAGTCGATGAGCTCAAACTGATCAGTTCACATGCACCTTTAGAAGCAGTACACATCAGTGCATGTATCTCTGCCATGTATTTCCACATTAACTGGCGTCAGACCAAGTCAATAGATTGTCTTTCCAGCTGCCTTACATCTAGTATCTACTCTGACGTCGCGTTCTAATTTGTCTCATGGTGCTATGGTTTCTAGAACGACTGCTGCAGAAAAATTCCCGATGGATCATCGTCCACAAGCTTAGAACAAAATTCTATGGTGCTTCCATGCACGTTCCTAGTAAAAAATCCTAGTACTTTCGACCTAGTCAGTCTTACAAGTCATTGTCTTAAGCTCAAAGAAGAATATTAGAAGCTCAGCAAGGAACTGTATATGCTTGGACTCTCATAGAGCTTTTTCTTGGAATGTATCTTTTTTCTTTTTTTTGGAAATCAAAATATAGTTATATAGCAATCCATCTGCATCTTCTTGTTGATTGTTTAGTCCTTCCATACCATCTAGAGAGACCATTTTTCCATAAATAGGAAAAACTAGAGTGACCACTAAAAACAACTAATTACAAGGATAACTTCATGCAAACGTACTAATTCTACACATGAAGATTGTAGAAGTGCATGCTCTAGCCAATGCAACCAAAAGACAATCTGATGGAAGAGAATAGGCAATACATTTATACGTCAACACCCCTCTCACGTGTGGCTCCCCCAGCCCTAAACATGGACCGAAAGTGAGTTGCAATTTAATTGCAGCTAGCCGGGTCTTGAACTCAAGACCTCTTGGCTCCGATACCATGTAGAAGTGCATGCTCTAGCCAGTGTAACCAAAATACCGATCTGATGGAAGAGACTAGGCAATGCATTAAATAAACAATAACATGAAAAATAATGTGGCATGAATCGATTCTAGAGATTCTGTTAATCTCTCCCTTTCTTTCTCCAATATTGTAATAAGTATAGTATTGATTGTCGGTTGTAATAGCATAAATTATTTGTTTCTCAAGTGTTAGAACTTGCGAATATATCATTTATGTTTTTGAAAGTTATGGCAATTATGTGCTACTACCTCTAGTCGAATTATAGGGTCAGTATTGTTTGCATCTTTAGGTTGACAATTCGATCCTTCCATATCATCTAGAGAGACCATTTTCTTTCGAGTAAAAATATAGAGTGACCATTGAAATGACTAGTTACAAGGATCACTTGTTGCAAATGCACTTAGTTTAAATAAGCAATAGCATAAAAATTAAGGTGGCAAGAATAGACACTAGAGCTTCTATTGGTTTTTTAGATGGAAAGCTCGGAATTGGCATCTATTAGTTGCTCCTCTCTCTCTCTCTCATAATCCATTCATATCCATCATATTATTTATAAAATTTGAATCTTTGTGAAGATCAAGCCCACAACTATTGCAAAAGTGTAATTTTGATCCTCAACTCTAATATACCACAAATTATTGGTCTTTCAAGTTCCATAACCGTCTAATCTTGATCATGTTTGTTATTTTTGAATTTAGTTTTTAACTATTTCTGGAAATTCCTTGTTTTCAAATCTATTTGGTTTTAACTAAACTTTCTCACTTTCCAGTTGCTTCCATGTATTGTTTTCTAATTTTCTGGTAATTTTATATTAATTAAATAAAAAATTGACCTAAGAACAATCTATGCCTTTCAAATTTAAACTAATTTTCTTTTACATATTTATGTAAAATTGGTTGGATTTTCCAAAAGAGGTTCATGTTTTCTGGTTGTCTATGTGTGACCAGGATGCATTCCATGTGGCTGAAATCATCACCATACCATCACCATTATCAGTTTCAATTTACAAGGGATCAAATGCAAACACTTTTTACATTTGATAAGCTAAACACTTTCCATATCAATGGAGCAAGCTTACCTGAGAGGTGTTGAATGAATAAAAACATTTTTTCCCATTTATCAAAATGGGGATAGCCTTGAACGTTTAACTTTATAAAAATGGAGTACCATCTATGTTTGATCATACCATAACTGATCTAGAGAGCTCGCAGATTACAGGTTAGTATGGATGCATGGTGTCCTCGCAGCTCAACGTCTAACTATATAAAAATATCAGTGAGAAAGTACGAAATAATATATCTAGGATTTTCCCAAAAAGGCATTTCATAATTATTTTTGTTCTTTATTAGCAACACAATCATATATTCATATATATAGAATAAAGGTTAAAGTTGCACCTATGGAAATGTATCAAGGTCTAAAATATTGTGCATTTCAAAATGTATGAGGTAAATAGGAGTACAAAACATCTGCAGAAGACACAAGCAATGCTAATTCAATTTTATAATCCTTTATTTGTAGTTATCGAGATGAAATTTACAGATTCACCATGATTGGATTGATTTTATTTATAGAGAGGACACCTTTAATATTGGTAGCTACCAGAACTTACCAAAAGAAGGATATTTCAATGGGAATGTTATCTGGCGAGCGAGCACGCATGTAACAAGCGCATAATTTTTTGACATTGTTTGTTTTGAGGTTGTTTACCATAATTTCGTTGGTTGTTCGAGATATGAAACGAATATTATGCTCCTTTCGGATTGTGACTCGTCTGAGCACGCACGACCTGGCCCATGCATGCATGTATTATTGGTGATTCTTCATCTTCAAGTCAACTAGTCAACTGCCGATCCATGGAGTGGAATCAGTCCACACTTGTCGAGTCAGTGACATCTAACGTCGGGCTCTGGAACCTATATAAACTGATAGATACCAGGTTTGCTTCGCTATCTCGATTGCCTCGAGTCGTTGAAGAATTCGGCGCGTGCGCTAGCTTTCTCCGGGTACGTAAGCCATGCAGGTCTTCTATGTCTGCATGCGATTTTTTCATGACGAGCCGAGCTAACTACCCATGTTGATATCCAGGGTTGCATTTTCAGGAGCTTGGCTTGGCTATAGCGCACGTCCTTGATCGGTTGTTGGCCATGGCGTCCAGGGATGGGGATAGCATCTGCAGCATCCAGATGGCAACGGAGGTACTGGACGAGTCTCCGGGAGCGCTTCAGGATCAAGATGAGGCGACGTGCTCCGTTTTGTTTAGCATGCCGGCCTCGCCGTCGGGGCTCCACCTCGCGCAGGGTATGGCGGGCGGGGCAAAGGTGGAGGTCCACGACCCTGCCAGGCCGCGGCTGATGAAGCATGCCCGCTTCCACTCGCAGCCGTCCATGCTGATCGGAGGTGGTGGCGAGGCGCCGGCTATGCCGCGGAGCGAAAGCACGCGGGAGTGGGACCGGCGGTTCGACCACTTCAGGACCTTCTCAGGCCGTCTCGAGCGGCAGCTCTCCATCCTCCGTGGGGCGGTGCCGCATGAGCCGCCGACGGACGACATGGAGTGTAACGCCGCGGCCAAGATTTCGGTGGAGCACACCGACGAGGACAATGACATCCCCTCCGCCGACTCCTACTTCGCCGCCCTTGAAGGCCCTGAACTTGAGACCCTTCGGGTACGTGCCACGTAACCGTGCCGATGCATTCCAAAACATTTACCTTTCGAGACGTCGTCTTCTCTAACAATAACCACCTGGATGTGCAGCCAGCAGAGGTAGCGGTGCTGCCCAATGGCGAGCCCTGGCCGTTTCTCCTCCGGTTTCCCATCAGTGCGTTCGGAATGTGCCTGGGCGTGAGCAGCCAGGCAATGTTGTGGAAGACTCTTTCGTCGGAGCACTCCACGGGGTTCCTTGGCGTGCACCCCGCCGTCAACCGCGTCCTCTGGTGGGCCTCCGTCGCCCTCACCGTCATTGTGTCCATCACGTACCTACTCAAGGTTGTGTTCTACTTCGAGGCCGTCCGCCGCGAGTTTCACCATCCGGTCCGCGTCAACTTCTTTTTTGCACCCTGGATCGCTTGCCTCTTCCTCGTCAAGGGCTTGCCCCGCCCCGAGAGGGAGATCAACCACATTGTCTGGTACCTCCTCATGACACCCATCCTCTGCCTTGACCTCAAGATCTACGGCCAGTGGATGTCCAGCGGCGAGCGCCAACTCTCGAAGGTGGCCAACCCGTCGAACCACCTCGCCGTTGTTGGCAACTTTGTGGGAGCACTACTCGGTGCCAAGATGGGCCTCCGTGAGTTGCCCATCTTTTTCTTTGCCGTCGGGCTCGCTCACTACCTCGTGCTCTTTGTTACCCTCTACCAAAGACTCCCCACCAACGTGCAGCTTGCCAAGGAGCTCCATCCGATCTTCTTCTTCTTTGTCACCGTACCCAATGTCGCCTCTATGGCTTGGGCGACGATCTCTGGCGAGTTCGGCCATGGCCCCAAGCTTCTTTACTTCGTCTCACTCTTTCTCTATGCATCCTTGGTGGTACGCATCAACCTGTTCAGGGGGGTTCGGTTCTCACTGACATGGTGGGCCTACACGTTCCCGCTAACGAGCGCCGCACTGGCCACTGTGTTGTATGCATCGGAGGTGGACAACATGCTGACCCGAGCATTGGCGGTCGGGCTGGCAGGGATCGCCACCGTCACAGTCATTGGAGTCATGGTCAACACCGTATACCATGCCTTCGTGAGTAAGGACCTCTTCCCCAATGATGTGTGCATCGCCATCACGAGGCAGAGGCCCAAGTTCAACAAGATCCTTGCACACCTCCGCTTGTCCAGCACCGATGAGGCCACCATTTAGAAATTTGAGATCCAAGTGCAAAAATGCAAAACGTGGACCTAAACAAGAAAACGAGGAGAATCAACACATACACTCAATTATTTGATTTCGATGTATTTTTTTTCTTATAGTACTTAATGATTTACTCAAATGTTGATGCTAAGAGAGTAAAGGTAATATTCAGGCGATAAATTGATCCTGGTTTCAATATATATGTAGAAGTGCCAGAGTAACGTATGCACAAGGAACACCATCTTGTATGTATATCTATATCTATACCTCATATTAAAAGATGTAGTCTTTCATAGTTCTTCATAAGTCATCTGTTTATATCCGTTAGTTTTGTGTAAACTTCAACGTTTGGCGGTTGAAATTTAAAAATAGATCTACACACATGTCGTACAATGATGATGACGTGGATCGATGCCGCCATCGCCAGTCACCCCACGAACTCCGCCGGATCCTGCAACACACGGGCAACTTCCAGGCGAGGAGGCTCTGCTTCATAGCCCAGGGCGCCGTCGCTGCAGCTCCTCACCACCGTCCCGAGCCAGTCGTCAGCGTCCATCCATTAGCAACTCTTCATGATGAAGGTCGATCAGTTTGGCAATGGTAAAGGCGGAGGAGAGCATGCGCGCGTAGAGCTATAGCTGCCCAGTGAGCGTACATCGTCGACTTTGGAATGGAGCTGCGGCCTTTGTATATATAGTGCTAGCTTGGTTGGTAGAAAGTCAAACACAACGGCGCGGTGGACTTTCTATTTTTAAACCTAAAAGAAATACACAGACAAGGTGGTGCGCGCAGGAACGGCAGTGATCACTGCATGCCCTAGACGGACTAGATGCAAAGATACGAGATCGCATCAGGATTTACACGTAACTAACAGATGAATTGACCAACCTAATCAATCTCATTAAGTATGTCAGTTTCACGTGCCGCAAATGTTACCTGTGCACCTGTCACTGGACCAGCGCTAGCTAGCTTCGCTTCTTGTTTGTATTTGACTTTGCTCCAAATGTCAAACAACATGGATATATTCGGTCGAAACATCTGAGATGAGGTCACGAGGATTGAAGAGGGAGTAAAATACTCAGTAAGCACAGCACTGTAGCTGGCATATGCTTCGAGTTGGGAATAATCCTGGGATTATGCCTTTTTGCGTCCGAGATATTTAAGCCAGTGCAGATACACCATCAGAGGCGGAGCCAGCGTTGTAGCGTTGGGTTCAAGTGAAACCAACGAATTTTTGCTGCCACGTGCATGTATGTACGTAATCGTGTGTATGAACCCAGTAGAAAATCAAGTCTGCACCCATCGAAGTTGGAATGCACGAGTTAAAAGACTTTTTTTTACTGAAAGCTAAAAGCCTTTTAGTCCACAAATCTTCACGTGAGTAGCCCAGTTAAGGCCCATAAGTAAATTGCTACTGCCTCCTGCGTGCGTCAGGCCGTCAAATTCCATGTCTTGTACAATTGTGAATCGACTCTCGCTCGCATCACCCATCACGGCGGCGGTGCATCGCCGTCTCCAGCCGCAAGCCCGCAAGAAAGCAACAACAGCTCGGCACACAGTACATATTCAAGATACTGAGAGATCACATCACCTTATGCAAATTCTATTTAGCATAGCGCGGTAATGCCCCTTGCCCTAATTTTCTAATTTAATTTTCCTGAACTTTGATTGATCTAGGCTGTGGGGCGATATTTCTCAAACAGAAACCGATCACGAGATTCAGATTATGATATGGACACTTAAAGGCCACCCATTAGACGCAGGTAAAGTGCATCAAATATTGTTGATTTAAGAAGTCATATGAAACCATCTGTACAAAGAAATATAATTAAGATGATCCATATTCATTTGTGTTGCTGCCTTTTCCTGGATCACAACAGGGGCAAGTTGCGAGTGATACATTTTTCACAAGTTGCGAGTTGATATGAGTGATTAATTTGTACTCCCTCCGTCCCAAAATAAGTGTCTCAATTTTGTACTAGCTCTAGTACAAATTTGTACTAAGCTCAAGACACTTATTTTGGGACGGAGGGATTTCATGCTTTTTTTGATTGATGGTATTATATATACACTTGTGAAACTAACTTGAAATTTTTGCACGTGTTTTCGGGAACGAGAAGCTGCACCTGAAACCAGGAAGTTATTTTGGTACTACTCTACATGTAAACAATACATTTTTATAATTTCATCAAACTAATATGTCTTGCGTTTTTTGTGTGTGAATGTTGTAGTATTTTGTTTTCTATGTATAAAGTATAAGTGCTATCACATTTCAATTTGTAATTCTACCTTTTGGTGCTATACTCTTGTTATAACTTATATGATAGTGTGGAATAGGACATTATACTTGACTCGGGCTTGTACGTGAGGGTTTGAAGCTCGCCCGAAGAGCTACCTCTAGCAGGAGGACCAAGGTTGTCAGAGACCTAGGTGAGACATTCATTGTCATGGGAGCATTCGTTGTTCCCCACCTCTCCAACGAAGATTAGCACTCCCTCTAGAGTGTAAACTTTGGATCACATCTTCCTCTCCATCACTTTGGTTGTATCTTACCTTAGGTTTACATTGTGTTATTAGTTGCTTGTTTATGTGCCTTGTGTAACTTACTAGCTTGCTGTAAATCATCATACATGGTGTATCACCTAGTTGCATTTGTAGAGAACTTATATTTCTGCACTAGCCTCGAAGATCAACCAAGAAAAGAATAAATTGGGTAGTCTCTTATTCACCTCCACCCTTCTAATCCACATTTAGAACATCTTTGATTTCTAACTAACCCTCACCACTTCAAAAAAGGTTTGGAATTTTCCCTAATAGTTCACATCAAACATCATGCGCAATTTGGTACAAAATAATCGATCACATCTTTGTTGTGTAATTCCTTATCTAAACCCATACACTACTAGGGAAAACGTTATACACTGAACTTTAGCAGTAGCGATTGTTAAAAAAGCTCGCTACTGCTAGAGAGCTGTAGCGCGTGACAAATAAGCGCGTTGCAGATGCATATATAGCCGTAGGGTGTCTCTCTGAAAACTCGCTACTACTAAAATTTCGACCACTAAGCCGGTGGGCTACACATAGTAATAGCGATCTTTCATAAACCGCACTGCTGCTAATATTCTTATAGCAGCGCATTTGCGCGTAGAGCGCTACTGCTAACGAAAACAAATTGAAATGAAAAACAAATAGAAAAGTAAATGAAAATGAAAGAAATAAAAAAAGGAGAAAGAAAAAATATAAAATGTAAAGAAAAATAAACGAAAAAAGGATGAAGGTATAGCAGTAGCACGTTTGCGGAAGCGCGCTATAGCTAACTTAGCTATAGTGCGTTTTCCATAGCGCGCTACCGTTATTTTTGACTTAACCCAAAAAACGGTTTCCCCCGGCCACCATTTCTCCCCCAAATTCCCTCGCCCCACTCTTCGCCGCCGTCTCCCCCACTTCGCCGTCGCCCCCACTTCGCCACCATCTCCTGCTGGCGTCGACGCCGCGTTCATCCTCACCGCCTCCGCCCGAGGCCGCCCAGCCTCACCGCTGCCGCCTCTCGGGCCGCCCTCGACCTCACCGTCGCTGCCCTCGACCTCTCCGCCACCGCACTCGACCTCACCGCCCCCGAGCCCGCCCAGG